CCAATTTCTTCTAGTTTCTTTCAATTCTTCCAGTTTCTTTCCGTTCCTGCCAATTTCTTTCAACATCTAGCTCTTTTTTTCCAGCCCTAAAGAACAGGCCCTAAGTTATATTATAAGTCATGGTTTATAAGTTATAAATATAAGTTCTTCTTTATACTTTATTCTTTAGTCTTCCATGGGAGCTATATATATGCTGGATGGACAATCTATCCGTTGAAGGGAATAGACTATCCGTTGCATTTGCTGGCTTCACTTTTGAACGAAGAGTGAGATTGAGGATTCTCCTTTGGAGTGGGTTTTTGGACATACCCAATTATTTGAAGAAGGATTCTTTTTCCACATAATTCGTCTTTTAGCCGTTGTTCAAGAATTCTGGACTGTAGCTCTTTATTGAGTGGAGTACCCTTTTTGTCTTCTTGTGTTTGCTTGAGAATTCTGGGTGAGTTCTTCAAGTTGAGAAGTCCAGACTTTGTCTTCATGTCATTTGTTCTTGAATCAGCTTAATTATCCTCAATCTATCTGTTGAAAATCAAGAAATTGATTTTTCCTTACCAACGGGTATAATTTCTTCATTCATGACTTAGATTTTACTAAGTTTTTTCTCACTAGTCTGCTGCTGAGAGTTCTGATCCTTCTTAAGACATCCGGTTCTTGGCTGACAATTCCGGATTAGTCATTCTTATACTTCCGGGTGAGAAAGGGATTCGCGCTAGTCTTCCGATCCGGATGACTCAGCAATCAGCGGGTTGTAGTGAGACTTTTGGGTATAATGAGCATTCCAATTTGGAGAATTCCAAAGTAATCGGTCTTCTTTGAGAATTCTTTACTTGTCTCTAACATTTCCGAGCAAGAGTTCCAATTTCCATATCACTGAAGTTGCTAAGTCTTCAAAGAGTGACATCAAACCACAAAGTTGTAGGACCTCAGGCGCTACCAAATCTTCTAAAATCAATTGGTGTTAGAAGAGGCACATACCCTAGCCTTATAGTGCATTCAACACACAAGCGTCCACGACATTTGATTGTGACTTGGCCCACATAGCCTCCGCCACGGGACAATTGTTGCACACATGGCCAACAATCTCCCCCTCAGCAATTACTCCCCCTAGGAATCGAACTCGTGACCTTGGCTTTGATACCACTTGTAGGACCTCAGGCGCTACCAACTCTTCTAAAAATCAATTAATTGTTGAAACATAGGCTTGTCACGTTTTCGTACTAAAGCCGTGTTCGTTTTTGTAACAGATTTTGATAATGCCAAACCGCCGTGATCAAGTCGAACATTGAATATACAAGGCGAAGAACAAAGATAAGAGCAAGAGCTAAACGAAGACCAAGAACGAAGACCTTAGTCATAGTATTGAGTCGGTCTTTATTATGATCAAGACCGACCCAATCTTTACACCTTGGCTCTTTAGGCTAAAATCTCTCATTGCAATTCTTACATCATAAAAATGTTTTTCAAACTTGTTTAAGTCATTAAAAACACTTGGTGATCGCCCAAACCAAAAACCAAGCCATCTAGTGTTCGGCTTTCAGAAACCAGCGTTCGGCTTTCGGTTGTCGGGTTTGGTTTTTGGCATCCGAACCAACCAAGTGGTTTTCAGAATTTTATGATCTGCTTTCACTCTTTGGCATGTTTAAACAGTTCTCCAACAAAAACACTTTGAAAACCATCTCTCGCTTTTAGCCGTTTGACAAAAACAACGCAAAACGGCGTAAACTTGGCTAGACGTGGTTTTTACTCAAATGATGTGATTTTTAAAGTGTCTCACTTGATTTCTTAGCCAAATATATCAAATAAGTGTTTTAAACACTTGATTTTTATTTTGGAGAACTTTGGATTTTTCTGTCGGTTTTTGCATCGGTTGGCTAGGCTGTGGTTAAGGCAAAAACCATAGGTTTTTGGCTAACCACCCACCCAGCGATGGGAAGAACATGCCATCGATGGGTAAGTGGCCCCTTAGCCAAACCAACTTCCAGAACCATGCCAAACAGCGATGGGAGGTTTTACCCATCGCTGTTAAAACCTTGGTCCAACATTATCACAAGGCAGAATGCCCTTACCCAGCGATGGGAAGCTTTACCCATCGATGGGAACCCAGCGATTGGAAGGCTTAACCATCGATGGGAAGGCATGACCGTTGTATGTCATTTAAGGTTGATTCTTTCCTTGTTTGGAAGTCAACCTCCCACTCAGCGATGGGAAGCATGTACCCATCGATGGGTAGGTGACCGTTGGCTTCAAAACTGAAGGAAAATTGGCTTACAAGTGATGGGTAAGGTCCATACAACGCTGGGGAGCCAATATTCTGCAGATCCCAAATCTTTTGAATCCCATAAATCAAGCTAATCATCCCTTTAATGCATTGGTCCGTTGGAGCCTATTTTGGCACAATAAAAAGGGGTGTTTGGGTCTGCTTTTCTCATCAATTCAACTTCACAACATTCATACTCTCATTGCATTCAAATATCATCATTTTCCATAGCTTTCTAGAGCCATTTTGTGTGGAGGTTGAGTTGTTCTTGCGCGTACTTAGTTTACTCATAATCTACTCTATAAGAGAGCCTCGTTCTTGAGTGTATTCGTGTTCTTAGACACTTTAAGAGAAAGTATTTCTCTCGGTAGATTCAAAGGAAGGGTTGTTTCCTTTGAAGGACTCGTTGAGGTTCGTGTAACTCGAACTTGTTAGAATAATAGACCAACGCTAGAGGGGGGGTGAATAGCGTTTGATCAAGAAATCGCAGGAATAAAAATGAATAAGCGAGAAGTAAAGAGAAAAGAACGAGGCACACCAATTTTACCCTGGTTCACCACAACTTGTGGCTAGTCCAGCCTCCCGAGAGACTCTCTCGAGCTACACTACTATCTCGTTAAGCTTAACGGGTCTTAACAAACCCGTACAACTTGAGAATTCGAGTCACACGAACCTCAACGAACCTTCGAAGGAAACAACCCTTCCTTCGAAGAACAAGAGAGATACCTTCTCTTGTTAAGTGTCTAAGAACACTAAAAACACTCAAGAACAATACTCTCTTTTAGAGTGGATAATGAGTAAACTAAGAACGCTCAAGAACACAACACAGACTTCACAAAAATGGCTCTCAAAAGCTATGAAAAATTGAAGACTGATTTGCAATGAAAGAGTAGGAGTTGTGAAGTAATGTNTAGGCTCCAACGGACCAAAGTATTTAAGGGGTGATTGGCATAATTTGTGGGATTTGATTAAAATTGGATCTGCTGAAATTCACCCAGACAGCGCTGTCCTAGGCTTGGACATCGCTGTTCTAGGCTTGATTTTTAAAAATTGGGAAGCAACGGTCATGCCAACAGCGATGTCTAAAACCCCTACATCGCTGTTTTGGCTGTTGACTTCCAAACAAGGAAAGTTTTAGCCTTAAATTCCTTCCAACGGTCAGGTCTCTACATCGATGTTCTATCCTAGAACATCGCTGTTTAGGTCTGCCTTTGGAGATGGAAGTTTGGCCTGACAGCGCTGTTGCTGGGTCAACATCGCTGTCCAAAAACTTTCTGCCAATGCACTACATTTTTGGCTTAGGTTGGACAGCGCTGTAGGGAAGCCTACATCGCTGCTCCAGAAGTTTCTGGAAATCCAACCTTGGCTCAACAGCGATGTCTAGTGACCAACATCGCTGTTGGAAGACTTAACGCCAAACCATGTTTTTAGCTACCCAGTCCAGACAGCGCTGTTGATTACCTCAACATCGATGTTGGGCTGGTTTAGCCAGAACCATGGTTGGTTTAGTCACGCCGTTAGCCGATGTCAAAAAATGCAAGTTCTCCAAAATAAAAGCCAAGTTTAGAAAACATTTGTTTATTGCATTTTGCTAAGAGAACAAGTAAAACATCTTGAAAACCACGTCATTTAGTTGAAAACCACGGCTAACCAAGTTCGTGCCGTTTCGCATGGTTTTTACTAAACGACAAAAAACGGAGAGTGGTTTTTGAGGTGTTTTTGTTGGAGAACTAATTAAATATGCCCAGAGATAAAAACCAGTCATGAAAAGTTGAAAACCACTTGGTTGGTTCGAACGCCAAAAACCAATGCCAAAAACCGAAAGCCGAATGTCGGTTTCTGAAAGCCGAACGCCGGATGGCTTGGTTTTTGGCTTGGGCGAACTCCAAGTGTTTTGACCCAAGTTTAAACTTAAGAAAAAATAGTTTTGAACATGTAAAAGAGATTTTTATGAATTGAGCCTAGAGAGCCAAGATTTGGAACTTTGTGCCGGTCTTGATCACATTAAGACCGACTCAATACGATTTTAGTTCTTCGTTCTTGATTCTGGGTTCTTGGTTCTCAAGTCATCATGCCATGTTCCTTCGCCTTAGTTTTGCTCACTTTAGCTTCGGTCTCCTCTTGTTCCTGGGTTTCCTCTTGTTTCCTCAGGTTGTGGTTGCGGGTTGGTGTATAATGGTGTGTCTTCTTCATCGTCTTCAAGGTGTACTCTCTCTAGTGAATCTGCAAGATCATCACAAATAGCCTTTCTCACCAAGCGAGCATTATCTTCGGAAAATACAATATGAGGGGACTCCTCAATAGTCAAAGTACGTTTATTAAATACTCGATAGGCCTTGCTGCGAAGAGAATAGCCAAGAAAAATCCCTTCGTCCGACTTGGCATCAAATTTTCCCTTGTCACATAATTGACTTATGCTCAAGAGATTGTGTTTAAGACCTTTAACAAGCAAGACATTATCTATAGAGGAGTTTTCAGATTTACCTACTGAACCAACTCCGATAATTTTTCCCTTGCTATTGTCTCCAAAAACTACGTTTCCTCCTTTAGCGGGTTTGATTTGGAGAAACTTGGATGCATCCCCGGTCATGTGCTTGGAGCATCCGCTATCAAGGTACCAAAGTACACTCGATGCCTTCAAGCACACCTATAAAACACATCAATGAGTTTTAGGTACCCAATTTACGTTGGGTCCTCGGATGTTAGGTGTGTGATGGTAGTGTGCTTGATTTTGTGACAGGTGCCTATGCCTAGTGTAACAAACGGGAGCAATATGGCCTATCCTATTACA